TGGTTAAACCCCTAAGTTTTTGGTTTGGTTTTTTTTTCTTCTCTTAGACTTCAGGTACTGCTGTCATGATCTTTCAGTTGGATGCATCTGAAACTTTTTTATTCCTCAAGGTTCTGCAACATTGTCTCTTCTTTATCAGTCTTTACCGCTCTCATTCCAGAACCTGATAGACTCTTGATGCCAATCTCTTGACTTAACACAAGTGGTGTTTTATTTTCTTTCCCAGTCACTACCTGTAATGCAAAAGCATTTACTAAACTGGTTTGTGAGACTTCTTGCTTCACTCCATTCTCTCAAGAGCAAGTGTAAGGAAATAATAAAAATACAATTTTAGTTGGAAGGAGTTGCCTGAAATCTGTCATGTAACATTGAACCTGTTTTTATAATGCATTTAATAAATTTAAAGCAGGATAAGGTAAGGACTTGTTCAGTATGTCCATGAGACAGAGACTTTTTTTTTTTCCCTCCCCCAATTGTGTGTTTCTCCTAGAAGTGCAGTTTCGGGGAAAAGAAACCAATTGCACATCAAATTTGATGAACAGTTTTGTTCTAAGTTAGCAACACTTGAAGATCAAAAGATTTCAAAGGCATGAAATTTGAGTACTGACTTTTAGATTGGGATAATGGCCTAAGTGCATTAGCAAGATAAATTGTGTAGGTGATGAAATATACTTTATTAGACTAGCTGATATGATTGGGCAAACAGTGATATAGGGGTGTACGACTGAGTTTCTGAAGGCTAGTGCAACAAAGAAGACTGTAGTTCATGAGGAGAGGGCAGCATGCAGTGCTGAAAAGTATAATCAAGGAATTTCTCAGTACAACAAGAGGGAGTCGTAAGGGTTACCGTGTGTACAATAAAAACTTTCAGAAGTGCTATTTTAAAAATTACTGATTGGAAATCTGCTAGTGAAGCATAGAAGAAATGTAGAGGTGCTGTTTCAATAACACGAACTAATGGGTGTCGGACTGAGAGAAGTCAATTAAAATTGACTTCTCACAGCAGTCAGCTGTTTATTATTGCAGTCAGCAATTGTTTATTATTTAATTTGAATGTCCACGTTAGCAGAGAAGGCAGTCAAATCCTCTGAAAAATCAGGACTCAATGATCTTAAAGGTCTTTTCCAACCTAAATGATTCTATGATTCTATCTAGGTGCTTTTAATGTGGTATCCAAGGTTAGAGGGCACGACAACCTTGACTGTCACTTTTGTATATGACACTGGGTATTCATGAAGACATGCTATATTATCATTGAGCATTATCTCAATACCTTGAGAACAAATTACAGCTGAGAAGATGTTCTCAGAGCCATCACTTTGAGTGCTAAACTTACTGCGTTTTTCCTCTTCAAATCAGTTTCAAGTCCACTGGTCATTATTTTTCTGTTGTTGGGGTTGGTTTTTTTGTTTTCTTTTGAAGACATAAATTGGAAAAGTGATTTCCACTAACCCATGCTACCAAAACTTATTTCTTATACTAAGGTTGAAACCATAGCATAAGCTTATGCTAAGTGACCCAAGATACTGATATTCGTCGTCTTTTTGTCTTTTCTGGATGTGAAATAAATACAAATTTTCTTTCACTGAATGCTACAACTCTTTGGAAAACTTGAAAAATCAGTCTTGAGTCCCAGAGGTTAGTTCCAAATCGTGGTTAGACAGTCATCTTGTTTAGACTCTTGTGTCTTTCTCCTTCTTTGTGGTTCATTCATAAAGTCATTCAAATTTGCTGTCTCCTTTTGCACACTGAGTGGGCTTCTAAGTGGGGGAAAAAAATAATCTAAGGAACAGGTCATCCCAACACTTTTGACTGATGTTGATGTTACAGTGGTCTTTGACAAGAAGAGTAATCAAGAGAAAATCCTCTGTAATTGCTCTGAAAACTTTCCCTAGTGATGAACATGCAGGCAGCCTCCTTAGAACTAGGTTCTCTTGTTCTTTTAATCATTCACACAGATTGTTCATCAAAAGCTGAAAACTTGGCCAAAGGTGTAGCTTTTCAAGGAGACCACAAAAGACATCTCCCTGAAGCTGACATTCCTTCTTCTTTCCATTCCTTTGAAATTTAAAATCTTCTGGTTCAAGAGTTAGAATTTCTAGAGCTTCCCAGTGAAGTAGAAATTGGCCTGACTGGGCTTCTTTTTGTGTGTGTGTCTGTGTGTGCACATGTATGCACGCATATACAACAGACGTCTTTTTTTTTGTCCCTAAGGTGGGGTGGGGGGATTTTGAATCAGATTCATCACATTGGGAGAGTTTAATCCAATTACTTGTTTGCCTAAGGCATAAGCAACAGATTTTTATAATAGAAAGTTTTAGGTGATCTTGACTACTCAGATCCTGTTGTTTCTCTGTGCTTATGACTATACAAATGATTGCCTGTCAAAAATGATTGAAATCCTAATTTTTCAAGAAATGTAATAAATCTACTTGGTAGTAAATTTACTACTATCTACATTAGATGAAGAGAAATCACAAAGGAAGGAGACTGTCTACATTAGAAAACGTGGTAGAAACTTTAATAATGGTGTGGCACTTACATTCTTTCTATGAGGTTGTGGAATTAATGTAAAACCAACGTTTCTCACGGGTTGTGGCAATAGCGCTTAATGGCAGCACATTATTTAGATTAGGCATGTACAAAATCTCAGCAGGATTCTATAGGAGCAGCGCTGTCTTCAAGTAAACTCGATGAAAAGTTAATTATGCTTTTTTGATGGCTTCCCTATCCATCTTCTAGCTCAGCATTCCAAGCATGACAAGTGTCCCTCTATAGAAAAGGTGTTTATTAGAAGCTGGCAAAGAACACAACCCTCAAAATGGTCAAAAGGAGCACTGTTTTTTGTTCTAAATGTGATCAAAAGCAAATCTTGAACATCTCAAAGTCCTCTGAAATAGTGATACTTTGAGCTCTTCTTGTTAATGTCAATTTGAGCCCAGGTAGCACATGTTCAGATGCAAGGTTTTAAATGCTTTCCTTCCTAAAGTGAGACTAACTGGCAGTAGTCTTTCCCTTAACCCTGAAATTCCTTAAGCCCAGATTTCCCAGTTGGTAGCTTTAATTGGTAAGTGAACAGCCATGAAGTTCTGTCTCTACATGGGGATGAGGTGGCAGTGTGGGATTTGGCAAGGACTCTCAGCCTTGCCTGCCTGCACACTTTTGTAGCAGCACAGTTTAGATGCCTCTAAACTGTTGGGTGATCGATGGCACATCGTTATTCCCGTTGCTTGTCAGCTACTGGTTTTCAGGAAGTTATGGTAAACCTGTGGTCCTCAGAAGTTTACAATTGGGGTAGCCAAACTCTAGAGGCTGCTTGTTTTGCTTGGGATTTGGTTTTGGGTTTGTTTTTTTTTTTGAGGGGGAGTTTGTTTGTTTCTTTTGGGTTTTGTTTCCTAAGCCTTGGCTCTGTTTGGCCTTGTGTAAAGCAAAATTCTCAAAGGCAATTCACTTATGCCATAGGGAAAAAAGACTGGTGGAAAAGTCCTTACGTCCCTCTGATAGCTGCCTCATCTTCAGCAGCAGATGTGCTCTTTCTCCATTCTAGGCCCTCTGAAACAGATGAAACAGGTTATTCATGCCTTTCATACTTTAACTGGTCATGGAGATGAATCTCAAATGAGGGTGAGGGGAGGTTGTGTGGCTTTTTGTTTTATTTTTCTCTCTCTCATTTTTGAGCTTGCTACCTAGAATTTCTGTAAGCTGTTGGCAGTTCCCCTGTAATGCTGTGTTCTTTGGCATTCTCGATGTATTGAAGGACTTATGCTGACTTCTAGTCCTTTGCTTTATTATTCTGGTTGTTTGCTACATTTCTTCAATTTAAATCATCTTTTAAAGTCTTTTTTCATGACCATCAGGAAGAAGGAAACTTTTAACCCAGTCTTGAAAACAGGATGCGACTGTAAGGTTCTACAGCTTGTTTTATGCTCTAATCTGTTTCTGGCAAATTCTTGGATTTTTGGGGTGTTTCAAGAACTTCACGTAAGGCTAACAGTAATTACAAAATGGAAGAAAATTGCATGAAATATATTTTCACAGAAGTCAGATTCTTGCTAATTTAGGAAAAACTGAAGTGCTTTTCCCCATTCCCTTAAGCAATATCTTCTTAAATTGTGGATTGAGGCTCAGACGCGGACTGGACAGATTGATGAGGACATAAGACCATCAATTGCTATTGAACACAACAGTGATGATGCACCTTTTGGCTCCGAAGTTCAAAACCCACTGCTTAGTGGATGATTGGAATGTGTGCTGGCAGAGTACCATGCTCTGCATCCCCTGTTTTCTTCTGAAATATCTTTTGCTTGCTGTAGTTGGCAACACAGAACTGAGCAAGATAAATCTTTACCAGCTGTAACCACTTTTTATGTCATATCACTTGATGCTGTCACTGCACTTCAATCCTTTTCTTGGTTTGATGCCACTTTGAAATTGCAGTCTGGGCACCTCCAGTTATTTTCCTTCCTCCCCACCTGAGATGGGTGAACTGTTTCTTTCCACTGCCTGTGAAGAGGGAACAGGTTAACTGTACTATGCGTGGCTTAAAAGGAAAAAATTACTTTGACCAAGTGAATATTTTTGGTTTTAAAATACGACAGGTTCAGAGTTCAGCCCTGCATCACTTTGTTATGGGACAAGGGTTAGTGAAGGACTTGCTATTCATATGAATATCTATTTTTAATGTTAATGTATTTGAGCTGATACTACCTCTAACTCAGTAATGAAAAATAAAGCTTTTATGAAGAGCTATGATTGGAAGTACTTCCATATAATTTACTGAAACGATTCTTACCAATCTGTACATTGCAGAAAGCTTCTTTGTATACCAAAATGTTCTGCAGTGTGACTTCTGCCATTCTGTATAGATCCAGAATGTGCTTCTCACTTGTGATTTCCCTTGGCCAGGTGTTTTGCATATTATGATGATATGTTCTCATTAATTATATTGTGATAAGTGTTTTAGTGAACACGATTTCTTTTTGTTTTGTTTTGTCTTGCAGGCACCAAGTATAGATGAAAAAGTAGATCTTCACTTTATTGCATTAGTTAATGTAGGTGGTCACCTCTATGAATTGGGTAAGAATGCTTTTTATCCACTCTCTCCATTTGTTTGCAACAAATAGAAGTAATAACGTTAACTATAAAAGTTTGAGAGAAATTACTTGATGTAATGTAGGGCTTAGATTGTTTTCAACTGCATCATAAGGTCTGGGGGGGATGTCTGTCAAACAATTGCAGCCTTCTTCCCTTTTTTTTTTTTAATTCTCCTTCCCTCAACTACCTTCTATTAAGATAAAATGGTACAGAATACTAGACTGCCTCTAAACTTCCTTTATGATTTACAAGGACAGGAAGCAAGAAAGAATTGATGAACAATGAAAATTTCAGAGGGGAAAGTACTGTTATGTCCTTGAATTGCTTGTGGAATTAATAAATGAACTATTTTCCACTTTAGAAGTGTTAGCTATATTATTAAATAGTGTGATACAGTTTAAACTGAAATTATGTAGTCAGGATACTAGCAGATACTAATATTCTGCAACTCATTTGTTATAGGCTAGTTATTTTTTCTTCTACCTTTTCGTGGTCAAGGGACAGTTAACTGTAAAACAGTCATCTCTATTTTCTGAACTACAGCTATTTTTTTTCCCTCTTCAGATTGTGTAGCACCAAGTTCTGCTCAGATAGTCTCTAATGACTCCAATCTTAAACATGTTGCTGGGCAACTAGGTTTTGCTGCAGGTGCTTCAGAAAACTAGCAAGTAGATCAGGATTTAAAAACTGCAAGTCACTGGTCTTTCCTAACATTTTTGCAGTATTTTATGGTGAGAACATTTTCATCTTTTGAAAATCAACATGTAATTAAGCAATGCCTTTAACAGGTGACAACTAAGCATAACCTGGGGCATAAGCACTATATAAGAAGTGCTTATGTTAAGGTGATCTAAGGACTGTTATCAGTGGTAAGTCATGAACAATAGGCACGCATATCTGTATTTTTAATGATACTGTATGTCTGTCAGTGAACTAGATCAAATAGTGAGGCAACTACTGTAGGATGCAATATAAATATTTAATGACTCTAAATTTAAAGGCATGATGGATGGCTCACTCTTCTTTTAGTTGTGTGCTACTATTGCCGTGTTACCTTTTAATTGCGCATTTAAAAAGCACACCACAGACCATGATTACTATGTTTAGCTATTTTCCATAAGTATGATGCAAGATAAAACCCACTTGAATTCTTTCTTAAATTTAAAATAAAAAAAGAAAGAGGCATTTAGCTCCACTGTATAGTGGAACGGAATGCCAATACTACTCTTTCCTTTGTTCTTAAAATAACTTCTCTCTGTACCAGCGGAAGAAAGCAAAAAATACTTAAAAGTAGGAAGATGGGAGAAGGTTTTTCAATTGATTCCCTGGCTTCAGTCATGGTGGCCAGCATGTGGGCTTTGGCAGGCAGAAAATGCCTGCACATGGATATTAAATGCTTATGATGTTTTTGCCATAGAAAACAAGTTATTTATAGGCACATGGAATTAAAATGCTGTTCTGCCAAGATGTATGTAAAAAAAAAATAAAAAAATTGAATCAAACTTAGCTTGCAGTACTGTTCAGTTCTGTTTCACTGGCACCTTCTAAGGTTTTTGCATTGTTATATCTTCAATCGTGGTTGTTACAATAATGAACAACCTCTTGCTCATGTAAATCCAAAAGTTCGCTTAACGTCGAATCTATTTTTAGTAGAAAATGTAGTTTGGAAGTATTGTCAACTTCGATGGAATCTTTAGGGAGGGAAAAGTCTTCAAAAGGGAGGGCAGAGCCAAAAGGGAATTTGGCCTAGCAAATACTTAGGATATCCTGACATATGTTCTCATACTGTTAACTCTTCACAAGTAACCTGAAACATATTTCTATGAATGAAATTATTTTTTAAAATGCTGAGAATGATAGCATTATTATATTGCAAATGGGAAGAAAAAAATAGCTATAGCAGCCATTTTTAAATGCTATGAAAGTACTCAATGCTTAAAGTTATTTGGTTTGTCTGCTTATTTATTTTCGATGAGAGTAACATTTCAGTTATGCCAGACTCTTTAAACTGGTGGGTTTGGTATTCTGTTCTGTCGTGGAGTCCCTGATCGCAGCTGTCAGAGACCACAGATGTACAGCTGTCTGTCTGAGTAAATCCATTAAGTGTAGTTGAAATTGTTCTTCTCTACTTGAAAAACTGATGTACTATACCAGCACTAAAGCAATCGCAACTTGTAGCCTTAAAGTGTTCAAATAAAATATTAAAAAGCATTTCATTGTTTTCATTGGATTCTTTTTTTTTTTTAATGTAACAGACTGTACATAATGATACCTGTTGAAGCAGTCAGTATTAGAGGAGAGACCAGGGAATAGCTAGCTGCATGTGTGATTCGTTTATGAAAAATGAGGTAGTATTTTTGTAAGTGAAGAGAAAAAAAATCCATTTATATAGTTTTAACTGGAAAAATGAAGCTTTTCCACTATTATAAATGTGGTGTTCAATCCTGCTTTGTGTTTCTACAGATGGGCGCAAGCCATTTCCAATAAACCATGGGGAAACTAGTGACGATTCTTTTTTAGAGGTAGGAACAGAAAACCTTCTTAAATGGTGTTATACAAAATTCTTGCTATATTTCCATAAAATCTATAAAAAAATATTTGTAAAAATATGTATACAAAAGTCTTGCTGTATTTATGGCTGGATGAGGAATAGGGTGAGTGGGATGGTCGGACAAAATTAGGTTTACTCAGTTTTAAAACTGGTATTTCAGAACGCTCGTATTGTGAATCTTGATGACAGAATATCATAACATGATAACAAGAAATGTCAGAAGGGTTGACGATAACAGAAGATCAGACTGACTTTTCTTCTGTGCTGAGATTTTCATATACCTCCGCTCCTTTCAAATTGTATATGAGATGAAGTCATTGGATTGAAAACTTGGGATAATTTTTCATTCTCTTTCCTTTGGTTTAGTTATAGTTTGATAGGTGCCATGCTAGACAGAAGTTCATTTCCTTTCTGACACTTGCTGCATATCATTCTTCTCCAGTTCTGTGGCTTGTTTTGGGTGCTGCTTTGTGTCAGGACTGTTTGAGCTGAGAAATGAATTGGAAAGGAATACACTGAATTGAGAGGATAAACTCTTATCCCCACAGAATGGTGTGAAGTTAAAGCTGAGAGAAAGCAATACATAGATCTGACTTTTATGGTATCCAGACTGGATTAGCTTTACAAATGGAGGAAACCAGAGAAACTAAAACCCAACCAGACAAAAACCTTTCATGCTTTAGTAGCATAGACTAATGTCTGTAAAGACTGCATACAATTTGTGCTTGTTTGGGCAGGGGGAGAAGTTGGATAAAGCTTTCCTTTTTTCATATGTGGCTTTTTTCTGTTTTACTGATAACATGTGTTCTCCAGATTGCTCCCTGAAGCTAGATGAAGGAATTACTTGTAATCTTTCACTTACCCCACACAGCTTAGTCATCTTGAGACAAAGGAAAAATTTCTGAATACAGCAGTACTAGTAAAGGCAAACTTCAGAGATGCATTTAGAAAGTCACACAAGCAACACATCTGTTGCACAAAGTAGTATTCAGTCACAAAAATCATTGTTGCTAAGGTTCTACATACAACTTTTGCGCTCTTATGTTGCCTTATGAGCACTGTAAATAGTCTTGAATAGTGGTAACTCAGATCAGAAATACAGTTAACGTAGATATGTCACACTATTTAGTAATCCTTTATGGAAAAATCCATTTTGAGCATAGTTCGTATAAAGCATATCTTCATATTTCAGTTGTGGTTTTTTAAATAAGTATGATTTATAGTGTTTTTCGTTTTGTTTTTTTTGTTTGTTTTTTTACTTTTTTCCCTAGGATGCAATAGAAGTTTGCAAGAAATTCATGGAACGTGACCCAGAAGAATTAAGATTTAATGCAATTGCACTGTCTGCAGCTTAAAAGCCTTTTCCAGTGGGGTTAATCTATTGCAATGTATTGTAACAATAAAACTGTTGCCATATGTTAATAATACAAATTTTGATACTTCCCTAACATGTTGATTAATTGTAGCATACATGGAATAAACTTTGCATTTGTCCTTGCGATATCTTCCTGCTTGTTCCTAAAGCAACTTTGGGTATTATATACACGCATGCATTTTGTGCAAGACTTACTACGTGGTGGGTTTTTTCCTTTCCACCCCTTTAAAAGTTTTGGAAATTACTGTCTGTGATATTTCATCATAATAATGGTGAGTTAGTTCAGAGCAGGATTAACATTTGTATCATTCACAGATAATGTTTTGAGTGATGTGGTATGTTAGTGGATAAAAATTTTGAAATATGAGGCTATCTCCATCTTTTAATTATAGTGATACAAGAATATTATAAGAACTTTTGCAGGTGACTCGAAAGACAAAGTGCATTATTTATAAATAAATATATGGGGAAAAAAAGACAGAAAAAGGACTGTTTCTTCTTACTTGGTGAGCACTAACATTTTAAAATTATGTTAATCTTTACCTTTTGCATAAAACTTACTTTTGTTTCGCAAGCGTAATAATGTTAATAAATTGTCAAAAAGCTTTAGTTAAACCAGTGTTTGCTATTTGTATATGTGGGAAAACAACATGGATTTTTGCCCCAGAAAAGCCACACTAGTAATTAATGCTAGTTCAAACAGTAGGACTGTGGAGGGAACACACCGGTGAACACAGCAATGTGAAGTATCTCACCTAACTGAAATAAATGATAGAAAAGTAATGATTGCTGTAATGAAGTTTTGTGTAACAAGAACAGGACCAGACTACAGATTTTAAGATAGCCATGACGGTCATTTTTTTTTTTTTTTTTTTTCCTTTAGGAGTAACTATTGTAAGTTTGTCAGGTGGCATTACTGAATGCTATGTGATGCCCTTCCCCTGTGCCATCCTTCCCACCCCACTCACTGGACCTTAAGGTACTGTTGACCAACTTCTACACTTGAATTAGTAACAACTTGGTCGTATTGGGGGTTGGGGTGGTTTGGTTTTTTTGGCTAAGCAATCTTATGCTTTAGGATTCTTGTGAAGGTTAGTTTTGGTTAATGTGTGTGGTTTTGACATTCTAGAAAAATACTCTTTATTTGTTGCTTTGAAGTGAAATAATTCCGGTTTGCTTCCAATCAAGACCGCTGTCAAAGGAAAGTGAACCCTCTGTGTCTCAGAGGGTGCTTTCATTCTCTCTCAATTGTCATTGCAGGAGAAACGAATGGGGTTATGCCAGAAGCAATTTGGCTGAGTTTTCCTCTTTTATAGAAAAGAAAGAGACCTGGGAGTCTTATCACTTAAGAGCATCTTTTGCACTCTAAAGAAAAAGTCGGAGTGTCTGTCTAAAACATGTCACCTGGAGAGTCCACTAACAAGAAGAGTCTGTTTTCTATAAGGGAGCTGGTTGGAAAAGCAAAGGGGAATAACAACACTAATGAGCTTCTATTTTTGAGCACTTTTCCACCCCAGTAAAATGCAGTACCTTTAAGACTTGCTTTATGTTACTATGCTCATTAGTAAAGCCATAAAACTTGCTTTTAAATAAAAAACAAAGGCTTTAGTAACCAAACCACTGTCTTCCTGCTAATATCAGAAAAATCAAATAAAACTTGTCACAATTTAATTGGGATATTGCATATTTTATGCTAAAGTTGATTCGGATGATTACAGTTAACGCAAGCCATAGTTAATACAGATATGGTGCTTTTAGGGTAGGGAGGAGGGTGAGGAAAGAGAGAAAGAGGAAGTACAGTTCAGAGCTGGTTAAACTTGAGTTGTGTGCTTTAGGGAAATATTCACATCATATATGCTCTTCAGTGTTCAGAAGATTTTGGTGGGCTTTAGGTAATAAATGGAGGAGCTTTGGGTTTCTGCAATTACTTATTGCAAAATCACTTCAGAACTGGAGCTTTAATTGAGTATTAGCACTGATTAAGTAAATTCATGACAAAGGAAATCAAAGTTAGAATAGTGGACTTGGGGTGGGATTTTTCATCATCACACTGGAAAATACATTTTGAATCTTAAGTAAAAGCTTACTTACAAGAATTCTTAGTTTTTTTGCAATATGCTAGTTTTGCTCAGTGGTTTTTATGTAGTCTTCAAATCAGTTTTCCTGCAGGGTAAGGTTTCCTTCTATTTTGTTTTACTGTTAGTGTTAATTTCCAGTTTATTAATATATAAGATGGTACTTTTTAGTAAATACTGCTTTTAGAAAGTTTCTCAAAAGTTTGAGGTGACAAAGGAAGAGCAATGCACCAGTTTTTAGGCTGAGCTGTATCTCAGCTCATATCCAGTCCCTTGCTAGATGGAAATTTTGAAAGACTGCACTGCAGAAATACTGTCTTGTCTGACACATATGGTGTAATGGTCATCTAGTGCTTGTAAGACCATGCTTTGGCATGGGCAGTGGTGACCATCTTGAGGAGCACAGGAAGTAAAGGGATCTACAAAATGATGGAATATCTTTGGCACTGACAGAACCCGTATAATTTCATAGAATACCAGGCTGGAAGGGACCTCAAGGATCATCTGGTCCCACCTTTCTTGGCAAAAGCACCATCTAGACAAGATGGCCCAGCACCCTGTCCAGCTGAATCTTAAAAGTGTCCAATTGTGGGGAATCCACCCCTTCCCTGGGGCGATTATGCCAATGGCTGATTGTTCTCAGTGTGAAAAATTTTCCGCTTGTGTCCAGCTGGAATCTCCCCACAAGTAACTTGCATCCGTTACCCCTCATCTTTTCCACGTGACCCCTTGTAAAAAGGGAGTCTCCATTTTCTATGTAGCCACCCTTTAAGTACTGGAACATGGTGATGAGGTCTCCCCTAAGCCTTCTTTTCTCAGGGCTGAACAAACCAAGTTCTCTCAGTCTTTCTTCATATGACAGGCTTCCCAGTCCTTCAATCATCTTTGTGGTCCTTCTCTGGGCCCTCTACAGCCTGCCCACATCTTTCTTGTATAGCGGGGACCAAAACTGAACACAGTACTCCAGGTGTGGCCTGACAAGTGCTGAGTAGAGTGGGATAACGACTTCTTTATCTCTGCTGGTGATGCCCTTGTTGATGTCACCCAGCATCCTGCTGGCTTTTTTTTTGCTGCAGCAGCATGCTGTTCACTCATATTGAGCTTGCTGTCTACCAGGACCCACAGGTCCCTTTCCACAGAGCTGCTCTCCAGCCAGGTGGATGCCAGCCTGTGCTGCACTCCTGGATTAGGTTTTCCCAGGTGCAAGACCTTACGCTTGTCCTTGTTGAACTTCATAAGGCTCTTGTTAGCCCACTTCCAGCCTATCCAAGTCTTCCTGTGGGGTGGCTCCCCCTTCCAAAGTGTCCACTTCCCCGCTCAGTTTGGTATCATTGGCAAGCTTCATCAGGGTGCACCTGATCCCATCATCCAGATCGCTTATGAAGACATTAAACAGCGTTGGGCCCAATAGCAATCCCTGGGGGACCCCACTTGTGACAGGTTGCCAGTTTGAAAAGGAGTTATTTACCACCACCCTCGGGGTGTGGCATGTCAGCCAGTCCCCTATCCACCACATGGACCACTTGTGTAGGCCATAACCCATCAGTTTCTGTAGGAGAGGGCTGTGGGGAACTATATTGAAAGCCTTGGAGAAATCAAGGCAGGCAATGTCCACCGCTCGCCCCACATCATCCAAGCAGGTTACTTTGACGTAGAAGGCAATCAGGTTTGCCATGCACAATTTGCCCTTGGTGAATCCGAGCTGGCTTTTCCCAATCACATGCTTCTTTTGACTTGTGATAGCCCCCCAGGAGGATTCGTTCCACAGCTTTCCCAGGGACTGAAGTAAGACTGATGGACCTATAATTTCCTGGATCCTCCTTTAAGTCCTTTTTGTAGATGGGGATGACATTAGCCTTCTTTCAGTCTTCTGGGATGTCGCATGATCTCCACGACTACTCAAAGATAATGGAGAATGGCCTTGGAATGACGTCAGCCAGCTCCCTTTAACACCCTTGGGTGGATATTGTCAGGGCCCGTCAATTTATAAGGGTCACGCTCCTGTCATAGTTCACATACCAACTCGTCCTTCACTAACGGCGGGTCTGTGTTTGCATCAGCCTGGATTTTTGTTCCTAAGGCCTGGGGCCCAACAGTGCTGGTAAAGACGGATATATAACAGATATATAACCTGGATACAAGGAGTAAGGTTTGAACACTTGGCTGACTTGTGTAGTCCAGCAAGGTCCTGAGCGGGGGCTGATGAGCCCTGCGGAGCCACTCAGTGCTTTTGGCTTTGCAATGCCCAGGCAGATGTTGCCTTACCTGTACGATCTGTGCGTGTTAGCTCAAGCTCTGTGGGAAAATAACACTCTATTTCCAAACTTGTGCAGCCCTGCAGAGCCTTGCCACCTTTGTGTGGAGTGTGGTTTGGCCACAGGCACGCAGCACTAGTGCTCTCTTCAGCTCCTGCAGCCTGGGCCTGCCCTACACATCATCTTATGGAAATGGTGCATGTAGGAGTGAAGCGATGATGCACGCTCAGCGCTTATATTAATTTTAGCTGAGTGGAGCTGGGGTGCTATTAAGCACTCAGGATTGTTCAAGCTCTTTCAAGTATATTGGTGTTAGTTTTCCCATGTTATTACAAGCATTTTATTGAGAAACTGTAAGAACTTAATAACCAGTACAATGAATGCCCTTTCCTTTCAATCGTGGCTGCGTGATTCAGTTAAGGAAAGAAGGAGAGAAAAGTATTTTCTGTCATTGAAATGTAAGTTTTAGAAAATAAACACACGTAACAGCCCACACTTTAAAAATAAATGTGGTCTTTCCTTAACGGAAGAAGCCTGCCTTGGTAGAAAAATATTATTGCATCAAATATTTGTAGAACTCTCTATGAAAAGAATACGACATAAACGGTTGCTTGACTTATGACACACAGCTGCTGAGTAGAACAATACTGTTTGCTACTTTTGACACCAACAATTAGCAGTCATACCTGGTATATGTTGTCTTTGTCTGATCTAGGAGTCTGGTGACTTACCTTGTTATCTCAAAGGAATATTAAAGTGTTTTGGTCATTTGGGCTTTCATAGATAAATTATCTGTGGCAGTTGACATAAAATTCACTTTGAAGAAGAAATTTGCATGTTGGAACTTTTTTTACTCAGTGAATAACTTTGACTTGAAAACTGCTGTGGTCTGTGCAGCTTACAAAAAGGAGGATGTAATCAAATTACTCGATTACTTGAATTATTTGATCTAAAACATTAAACACTTGATTCACAAGAAAAGTGATTTGATTTGCCATTAAGTGAAATAAAACAGCCAGAAATAAGCGAGAACTTGGAAACTGGTTTTTAACCTCTTTTGAAACGTGTTTCATAGAATTTTATTCTCAAATCAATTTAAACTTTTATAGTATTCATAGTTACTTTCTCCTACTTAGGGACAAGCATCATATTTTTATATGAAGTGAAAAGACAGACCTCAAGAATCTGGGAATGGGTGCAGTTCTTCAGAAAAATATTTCATAATGACAGTTAACACAAACTAAT